AGTGTCATATCTTTCCTTCCTTCCTGTCCCTCTTCCAGTTCATCACCAGTTGTCAGGACTTTTGAAATTGCTTCCTGACATCTCACTCCCTTGACAGTCAGCTTTGGACTCAGCCCGATCTGAGTTTAAATCCTGGCTCTGCCACTTACTGCTGTTTGACCTTGGTTATTTAATATTTAACCTCTTTGAACTCTTCAGGCACCATCTATAAAATTGAGGTGATGGTAACATTCAACTCACAGGGTGATTTTGAGAATTGGAAAGCACCACGTGCCTGGCACTGAGTCTTCAATGCATTATCTATTGCGTTTATTGAACGAGACAGTGTGTATAGAGGACTTGACATGGTGCCGGATGCATACTAAGTCCTCTACGATTGCTGGCTGCTTTGTATGATTCTTCTTCATTTCAGTCCATTTCAGGCCCTGCTGTCAAGTTATTTCCTAATGAGCAGTTTTGATTATGTCCATCTCTTGCTTAAAATCTTCCTCTGACTTCCTCTTGCCTGTTAAAATAAGCCGAAACTCCTTTGCCAAGTATTCAAAGATGTCTTAATTGGCTCCTCCTATCTTCCAGATTTTATCTCCTGAATTTCCCTACTCACTGGACCCCACACCCCCCCCTGGTTTTCCTTCCTCTTTAGCTTTGTTTAAACTGCTCTGTCTCTGGAATGCCTGTCCTCCTCCCATTTTGTTCAGTAAATATTTGTTGAGTAAATAGATGGTGTCCTTTGGAAAAGCTCCCCCAGAGAAGCCAGTTCTTATCCCTGCTGTATGCCCCTCCTGTGGTGGGGACACACAGAGCAGGTTATGTTTATTTTCAGCAGGACTGTCCGTGGGGGAGACATATGTACAGAGAGGTTTGAAAGAAGTCACCCCTGTTACACAAGCCCCTCCACCCCTCTTGAATACCGATGCCACATAATACTGATGCCAAGAGGTGAAATTACTATTCAGTGAACCTCTCAGCTCAGCTCTGGCTGGGAATCAAACCGGCAACCCTGTTGCTCAGAGCCTGCACTCTTGAGTGAGCTCTTAACCAACTGAACCACTTGGCCAGCCCTGAACCTCTCAATTTAGAACACACTTATTGAGCACCTACCATGTGCTCTGCAACTTCCTGGGGATGTGGGGGTCAGAGCACATTTAAGACCACCTGGCTGGTGGAGAGAAGGCTTGTGTAACAATGACAGTGCACGGAGAATTCAGAATCAGGCTCTAAGTTCTCTGATGCCCAAGAGGAGTCTTTGACCAGGATGAGCCTGTGTATTAGAGAAGAGGTCAGAGGCTGCAGCCAGATGAAGCTTTGCAGCAGCCATGCCTGAGGCGCGTCTCCATGTCTTGCATACTTTGAAAATGTATGGTATGCTAAAGCAAACATCTGATATGTGCTAGGGAAATGCAAACCAATGAAATTCTTGTGATAAGCCAGGCCCAGGGCAGTCCCCTAAAAGGCAGCTTTCCAAAAAACACTGGTAACTTGCTGCTGCTGCTGCTGCTGCTGAAAACAGATGCAGGTGGAGATTTCCCCCCAAGAACCAACTCTCCACACACAGTGCAGTCCGTTTGGTCCAGCACAGGCTCAGTTGTTTAAAATGCTAAGACATCTTTAATGACAACAGGAGTAGTAAGCACAGGTTGATGGAAAATTGGGCATAGGTAGACTTGCAACTTTACTCAAGACCTTAGCTTAGCTTAACTCACTATTCAGGTTCTTGACAAGTCTCTAAAGTAGGTTTTATTCCCAGAAGATCCTCAGTTCCTGCGTTATTCAGAATAGGATAAGAGTTACACCTGGAACACTAGCTTTGAAATCAGATGGCTTTGGCTTGAACCCAGCTCAACCACTTACTAGGATCTGTGACCTTGAAACTCAGAGAAGTAAGTACTCATTTTGACAATTGCGTTGGTACCACTGATGTTGAGGTTTGTTGTAAGTATTTAATGAAGTGATGCATGTGGAATTCCTGACAGAGTAGGTGTTCAGTATCTGATGGTTATTATTACCTTAGTGATTACTGGACAACCCGCCGCAACACTCCATCCCATGCCCAAACCGTCTCCTCCAAAGCTACCTAACCTCTAACAGCTTCCTCTGCATTTCCCCTATACCTCCTAATAACAATAATAGTAAATAATAATAAAAATAGTAACAACACAGCTATTATAGAGGGCCTATTACATGCCATGCCCTATAGGGGTACCTTCAAACTTTATACGAGGTATGGCAAAGTTTGTGAACTCATCCCAGAAAAAGTGCTACATACCTCATTGCTGAATATCACTATGGTCACCTTCAAAGTATTCCCCTTGGGAAGCTATGCACCAAAGCCAGCACCTAGTCCACCCTTCAAAGCAATTTTAGAACTCTTTTTCTGGAATGGCCATCAGAGCTGTCAACATATTACCCTTGATGTCCTAAATGTCATCAAAATGTCTTCCTTTCAATATTTCCTTTATCTTTGGGTAAAGAAAGAAGTCACTGGGGGCCAGATCAGGTGAGTAGGGAGGGTGTTCCAATACAGTTATTTGTTTACTGGCTAAAAACTCCCTCACAGACAGTGCTGTGTGAGCTGGTGCATTGTCGTGATGCAAGAGCCATGAATTCTTGGCAAAAAATTCACGTCGTCTAACTTTTTCAAGCAGTCTTTTCAGCACTTCCAAATAGTAAACTTGGTTAACTGTTTGTGCAGTTGGTACAAATTCATAATGAATAATCCCTCTGATATAAAAAAAGGTTAGCAACAGCATTGCAACAAGTTAATGAACTTCATTGTCAGACTTATACATATATATATATATATATATATATATATATATATATATATATATATATATAAAATATTCTCCAGACTTGCACAGATCAACCTGCCCTCCATGACCTCAGTTGCTTGCTCAATGGAATGCCCTGGCCACTGCCCTCGTTGCTTTGTCCCCAACAACCCTGCCTGGCTTACCATCCACCAGGATGAAGCCTGGGCTAGGGCCACAGCTGCATTGGCACCAGATAGGAAAGGTGCGACTCTCCTTTTTTCTGGACTCAGATGAAACACTGTGTCATGGGACATGCGATCTGGCTTCCCACCAGCTGTGCTGGGTGATGCCACCCAGAAGTGCAGGGCAGTTAATGCCCTTTGAGACAAATGTTGACCTACAAGAGACTGCAGATGGGAGGGAACGGACAGAGAAAGTCCTCTCCTACCCCTCACCGTGCCCACTCCTGACACTGATATAGTTGAGCGATTGTGTTTCCTCGTGAAGCTGTGGCCAGCTCCATAATGTACCATCAAATATATACTTTCCCTTCTTTTTGCCCTCACTTCCATTTCCCCCTTCACCCTTGTTGTCCTGGGATTATACTCCCCCAGTAAAGCATGAGCATGGAAGCGTTGTCTCAGCCTCCGTTTCCTAAGGATCTGAGCCAAGACCATGTATAAAGAACTATTAAAAGACAATCTGAAACAACCCTATAGAAAAGTAGGCAGATATGAATAAATAGTTCACAAAAAGGTAATCATAAAAGCAACTATCAACAACAAAATGTGAAAAGATTATCCATCTCACTCATACTAAGAGAAATACAAAATAAAATTATGATATATACTTTTTCACCCAGCAGATTGAATAGTCTGATAACATATGTGTCATCAAGGGTGTGGAAAAAACAGGCACTCTCATTGCTGGTGGAACTATGTATTGATATAACCTCAATGGAGGGTAATTTAGCAATATATTTAAAAATAAAAAATATGCACATACTCTTTAGCCCAGCAATTTAAGCTCATTGTTGTTTTCTTTGGGAAAAAAATTGGAAATAATCTAATGTCCATCGATTAGAAACTGGTTCAGTAAATTATGGTATAGCCATTAAAGGGACAATTGTGCAGCTATTAAAAATAAGTATGAAATATTTTAATGTACTGATATGTAAAGATCTTTGATTTATATTAAGTAAAGATATCTCTAGAAAGATACACAGGAAACTGGTAACAGTGTTTGCCTCTGGGTTGGGGCAGACTTACTTTGTGCCTTTTGTACTTTTTAAATTTTGTACCTCGTGGATCTATTTACTCCTTGTCAACTTTATTGAGGAACCGAGGAATGATTTATATAGAGTTAAACCACATCCACTTAAAATGCACAATACAATGAGTTTTGAGAATTGTATACACTTGTGAAACCACCACCACAATCAAGATACAGAACATTTATATCACCCCCCCCCCAAATTCCTCATGGCTCTTTGTGTCCATGTCTCTCTCTGCCCTGTCCCCCCCACAACCACTGGACTACCTTCTGTCATTAGAGGTTACTTAGCATTTTATGTAAATGGAATCATACAGTATGCACTCTTTTGTGTCTGGCTTCTGCACAGTGCATAATGATTTTGAGATTCATTCGTGTTATGGGTATCAATAGCTTATTCCTGAATAAAAGGCTATTGTATGGTTGTACCACATTTTGTTCATCCAGCCAATGATTGATAAACATTTGGGTTGGGTTGTTCACAATTTGAACTATGTGTATAACACTTTGTTAACTTTTGTGTACAAGTCTTTCAATGGAAATATATTTTCATTTCTTTTGAGTAAATACATTGGAGTGGAAAGGCTAGATTGTATGGTATGTATAGGTTAACTTCCTAAGAAATGCCAGTTTTCCAAAGTGATTGGAACGTTTTCCATTCCCACCAGCACTGTATGAGAATTCCAGTTGCTCTACATCCTTGCCAATACTTGGTGTTGTTGGTCTTTTAAATTTTATAATGAGTATACAAGTAGATTGGTGTATCACCAATTTTTAAAGATACATTTAAAATTAAAAATAAATAAATAGTTAATTACTTACAGCCCTTCCCCACTCCCAAGTCTGTAAATAATGTGATCATAAGAAAGTTGGGTGTTGAAATTTTGAGAAGGGAGGTATATTCATTTTCTATTGCTATGTAACAAATTATCACAAACTTAGCAGCTTAAAACAACATGCATTTATTATCTCACGGTTTCTGTGGGTCAGGGGTCCAGGTGAGGCTTTGCTGGGTCTTCTGCTCGGTCTCACAAGGCTACAATCCAGGTTTCAAACAGGCAGGGCTGTCTGTGTTCTTTTATTGAGCTCAGTCCTCTTCCAGCTCACATGGCTGTTGGCAGAATTCAGGTCCTGTGATTATAGGACTGACATCCCTGTTTCCTTGCTGGCTGTCATCTGGGGCCTGTTCTCAGCATCCAGAGGTCACTTATGTTTTCTGGCAGGTGGCCCTTTTATAGGCTCTCACAACATGGCGGCTTACTTCTTCAAGGCCAGCAGGAGAATCTCTCTCCCCAGTCCTCTAAGATAGTCTTATATAACACAACATAATCACCTTTGCCATTTTCTATTGGTTAGATGCAGGTCACAGGTTCTCCCCACACTCAACGGAGAGAATTACACAAGGACATGACTCATTGGAGGATATCCTATGGTGTGTTCAACCCAGAAGGCATGATATGTCAAACTTGGACAGTGGTTCTCAAATTTGAGTGTGTGTAAGAGTTACCTGGGGGCCTGTTAAGATTAAGACTCCTAGGACCTGTGCTCAGAGTGTCTGACTCAGTAAGTCTGGATGGAGCCCAGGAATGTGTTTTGTTAGGGAGCAGTTAATTTCTCAGATGCACCTGAGGTGGGTGGTCCTCAGGCACCATCTACAGAAACACTGTCATGGAGGTTATTTCATGGCTTTGGAGAGGCGCAACCTTGGACCTGAGCCTCCCTTTTGCCAAGAAGCAAGTGAGATTGACTGATTCCATCTTCTCTTCTTGAAGATCAAAGGAGAGGCTGGATACTGCTCATCAGCGGAGCCCTACAGAGACAAAGACCATAGCCAGGGACAAAGAAGTCTACAAAGTGGCAAAACCCTTAGGACAAAGTATCCATTAGGACACCGATGCAAGGCAAGGCTAGTGAAACCAACTGGTAACATTATATTTAATAAAGTTTAAATTATGGTTATACCACTTACTAGATGTAAAACATTGACAAGTCTCTTAAACTCCCTGAGCCTCAAAGTCTGCAAAATAAAGATAATAGTCCCTATTTCCCAGATTTGGTACCACATATCAATGAGACACTGTCAGAAAATAAAAAAATAAAAAATAAATAAAGCCTGCATTCAGATATCTGCTTAACCCTACCTAAAAAATTAGAATCTCAGAAAAAATTCCAGGCTGTCAAAATATTACCACAAAGATTGGTACTTCTGTTTCTCCACAGAGACAACTTAAAGAAAACAGGAAAGTTAAAAAAAAAATCAATAAAGATAAATACGAGGGACAATGAAAGATCATACAAGTTTATCATTTCATGTCAAGGAAATAAACTTCCTTGTGAGGAGAAAATAAATTTAAAGACTAGGTTATAAAATAAATATAACTAGTCATTACCTATAAGAAAAATAATTAAAATCAAAATACTTTTTTAAAAAAAGACTAAAATATGAGAATATTCTAAACTCTCTCATGACTGTAAAAAACATGATGCCAAATAAAGTCGATTTTATAGTTACAAATATTAAGGGTAAAAACATATATTGAACAATGAATGCCTAACAAGTCTCAAGTTTTAGGTCTTAAATAATGTAATAATAAAGACATGCAAAAAACTGGCAAAAATTAAAGAGGAAAACAAAAATATAATTGCATTTGGATTCCTTGGCACTTCATGAACTAGTTAATCTTCATTTTAAAAAGAGAAAAAGGAGAACATTAAATCACAAATGAAAGAGCAAAGCAATTTTAAAGTACATACTCATGTTTTTAATAGTTGTGGAAATGACAGTTAATAAAGTTTTATATTTACTTTATATTAAAGCTTTGAAATAAGATGTGGAGACTTTTATTCCTTGATGAGAAGAACCATGTACTTATTCTGAAGAGCCAATATCACGCTTACTGGAGGTGTACAAGCTCCTTACCTTGAAAGCAGGATGGTTCACACAGCACAATTCTTTCCAACATGGCATCGGAAATACTAGTAGTAGCTATTTGGGAAGGAAATAAAAATATAGGGATACAAAAATTACTCCTTTTTTGTAGTTGACATGATTATATACCTGAAAGTTCCAAGAAAAGCAGCCCCTAAATTACTAGAAATAATAAATGAATTCAGCAAAGATGTAGCCAAAAGCAACCCACACAGAACAATTGCATTTCTATCCATCGGTCAACTACAGCTGCATATTAATAAAACAAAATAAAAATAGAGAAAGATTCCATTTATAACCACAAACCAAAAATAAATTTACTTAAGGATTTCCTTTGAGCCATGAGATTTAGTCCAAGAATATTATTAAACCATAACAGGAAAAGTAAAGGAGAATGTGAACAAATGAAGAGATATACCAGGTCATTATTGAAAAAACAAAATTTAATAAATGTGACAAAATTTTCAAAGTTGATAGATAGTAATGCAATACTAGTTTAAGGCCTTATAAAATAATTATAGAGGCTGAATAATTGATATCAATTTTATGGAATAATATGAAAAAATAAGAACTCTCTCACAGGATTTAAAATGCCTTGCAAAAAAACACATTTACCAAAACTATAGGTCTGCAAACAGAAAAAAATCAGGGGAACATCTCCATTTGGTATAGCATCTTAAGCTTAAAATAGGACCAATTCCAAATTGCAAACTGCTCCTGCTACAGTCTGATCCATCTCAGTAAATGCCAAACCACCCTTCTAGTGGTCTAGCCAAAATATGGGCAGTCATCCTAAGGTCAAAAATAGATCCAGAATCGACCACTTCTCACGGCTCTGCCAGAAGCCACCATGGCCTCTTGCCTGTACTACTGGACAGCAGGGGCCTCCTAACAGATCTGTGGGTTCCGCTGGGATCCTATGGACTTTCTCAGCACCACAACCAGAGCACAGAGGGCACCTTTGTCCTCAAGGAATCTGATGTTCCTTTATAATTGCTGTTCTCTCCACTGGAACCTTCTTTCCACCAGATATCTGCATGCTTGTTGCCTTCCTTCCTTCAGGTCTTTGTTCAAATGTCATCTCCTTAAGTTCCCCATTGAAAATTTCAACTTTTCATCCCCACACCAGGCTCCCTATCATTCTTTCGTACCTTGCTTATTATGTATCCATCTATTACCTATTTAAAAAAATCATCTCCCTCTCCCAACTCCTCCACCAGGATGTTTGTTTTGTTCATAGCTGTATCCTTAGCACCTAGAACAGTGCCTGTCACATAGTAGGTGCTCAATAAATATTTGCTGAGTGAATGAAACAAAATAGAAATTCCCATAGCACAGATGTCCTACTTTAGAAACTTAATTTACAACAAAGGAGAAACAATATAATGCAGAAAGATTTCATTGCTCACTAATTGTTTGGGCAATGGGATGGATAATATAATAGAAAGAAAGTTAATTACTTTAGAGTAAGTAATACATTACATCATATTGAATAAATTGTAGATGGGCTAAAACACACTAGTGTTTTTAAGAATGGGCAAAAATAACATGGCTATCTCGTGTTTGAAAGGTTGGTAAATGTCTGACTATTGAAGAAATAAAAAAATATTGTTAAGGACAAGATATGTAAAGATCGTTCTAAAATGTATGGTAATACATATAAAACAAGGCTATAGAAATAAAAGATATGTGAAAATATAACTATTAGAAGTTTGTTTTAAAATAGGAAAAAACTGATACAAATATATAGTTTGTGTCTGGATTCCACTATGTAAGTTGCCAAAGGAGATGAATAGTTTATTCCTAAATAAAAAGGAAGAACAAACATCACATAGAAAAATATACAGCCTTGGAAGCAAGAAAAGCATATCCAAACAACTTTAAGATATCATTCTAGAACTGTTAAACTAGTAAAATCAAATAAAAATGTTAACAAAACTGTGGGGAAATTGCTTATATGTTGCTGGTGACCATATGAGTTTGTGTAATTCCTTAAGCAATCAGATGATATGTATCAAAAGCTATAAAAATGTTCTTATCTTCTGGACTATTTATTTTATTTTAGGAAACTTATCTACAAGGAAGTAAATAAATAAAAAATTAAGCAAACAAAAAGGAATCTACTTTATGCTGTGTAGATGTGTAGAAAAGAGAAAAATAGGAAATGACCCAAGTACAAATAATAGAGGAATTTCTAAGCAAACTTGCTTATAATAGCACATTGGACGATTGAAATGGACAATGTAGGGACTTTTTTAACACGAGGGAATGTGAATGCCAACACAGCAGAACTACCATCCAAGACACTGTACTTTAAGTGTGCTCTTTCTATAATCCAGCCAAGGTCACCTTTGGGATCAGAAACCTAACCTTTGGGACAATGCACCATCCAATGCTGATTGTACTGAAAGAAGAACCACTTCACACAGGGTTATTCCAACTCTTCAGAATGAAAAACTAAGAAACTTCCTGGCGAGGCTTGAGGCAGGAAATTAGGATTTAACTTAGCTCTTGGGTTCTGTTAACTTGGCTTCACGAACTTATTTGTCCTGCAGTCAGGGGAAAGGAGTGGCACTGTTGGACAGGCAGGACTGAAAGTTCAGAGGCTGAGGCCAGCCTCATCAGACACTGGGCTCCCGCTAAGGAGGAAGCAATAAACCATCATTTCAGAGGCCCCGAGCTCCTGAAAACCAGAGAACTTCGCAGGGAGCCCTGCCCTCAGAGGCTACAGGAGTGGCAGGGCTTGCGTGGAAAAATACCAGAGTCAGGTTCCAACGTTAGGGAATTCTGTGTGGACCCAGAGCGTTCTGCTTATGAGGCAGGATGCCTGAAAACCCTGGGTAGAACACAAGGCAGTCCAACTCACAATCCAGGTTATTAGGAAGATGAGGTGTTTTGCCTAACTGCCAGGCTGCCTGGAGGTGAATTCTGACTCCACCACTTATTAACTGAGAGCCTTGGGCAAGTCACTTAAGCTTGCTGTGGCTTGGTTTCCCCTCTGGGAAAAAAGTAGGTTAACAGAGTACCTACCTCACGGGATTGGTGTGAGCATTAGATGTGACAAAGCCGATAAAGCTACATTGGAAGTCTTGTCATTATTATGTACTCAGGGTGACTTGCACGCATACAGCAAAGCTCCTATGAGCACAGCTTGGAGACTCAGAAAGGGGTGGATCCCGGCAGAACATCAGGAATTTATAGCCGAGGGTCACTGAACCAAGTGAGATTTCACCTAGACTCATATTTTTTGGTTGATGATGTTAATTTGGGAGGAGGAGAAAGGAAGGCCTTCAGGGCGTTCGCACCGGAGATTCTGGGCTGGCTGAGGAGGTAGGCTATCCCCGAGCCTTCAGGCCAGGTGGGCCGCCAGACAAGCCTCTTCCCTCACCAGAGGCCTCCTCAGAGCCAGCCTTAGGGCCCTGGCTGGAGGCAGTCCCCTTTCAATTGTTTTTTATGACAGAGGGCTGGTCCCAAATATACTCCAAATGGGACCACTGGGGACTAGACATAGATGCCTCACAGACTCTGCTGTGGCAGACAGATCCAGGAACACGCCCAAGAATTTAGGAAGTGGATACTGCTTCCCCCACCCCCCTTCCCAGTGATAGCCGATTGGTTGAGAGTGGGTAGTGTCAAAATTAAATCCTGATGCTCGTGCATTGTCCCTGGGAACGATTATAAATTTGGCTGCCTGGGGCAGTGGATGGGCAGGCGAGTGGAGAAGCTAAGTGAACGGGCCTGGAGGACAGCTAGACATGTCTCCAGGGTACTTCTAGGAAGCTTCGCTAAGTAATATGCTGTGTGACTTCCTTCTCTACATCCCCAGGGGAATTTTTCTGAAGACTGACTCATCTTTTAAGGCTTTTTTGAAGTTAGATTTAGATTGCTTTGGAATGTTGTACTGTGATGGTCCTTAAAGCAGGAGCAGTCCATAGACATGGGATTATTTATTCATATAATTATTTATGAAGCACCTACTGTGTATGAGGCACCACATCAGAAGCTGAAATATAGAAGTAAATAAGGTACAGTACTTGCTCTCAAGTCGCTCACAGTGTGCTAGAAAGCCAGGCAAATCTACAATTAAAAGGTAAATTATAGGGGCCAGCCGGGTGGCTCAGTTGGTTTGAGCATGAGCTCTGAGCAACAGGGTTGCCGGTTCAATTCCCACATGGGCCAGTTAGCTGCACCTGACCTGAGCTGCCAACAGGCGGCCGGATGGCTCAGCTGGTGAGAGCGCATGCTCTTAACAACAAGGTTGCCGGTTTGACTCCCAAGCTGCGACTGGACTTGGAGCTGAGCTTGCGCCCTCCACAACCAAGATTTAAGGACAACACCTTGACTTGGAGCTGATAGGCCCTGGAAAAACACAATGTTCCTCTTCTCCAATTCTCCAACACTGTTCCCTTCCCCAATTCCCCAGTTAAAAAAAAAAAAAAAGGTAAATTATAAATGTCATGATAATTGCGGTAGGCAGAATAATCCCTCCTAAAGATACCCAAATCCTAATCCCTGTAAATGTTACCTTATCCAGGTGGACCTGGAATCACAGGTGTCCTTAGAAGAGAAAGGCAGAGGGAGATTTGACCACACCAGGAAAGGTGATGTGAGGATAGAAACAGAGCTTGAGTGTGGAAGAGGAGCCACAGGCCAAGGCATGCTGGTTGCCTCCAGAAACTGAAAAAGGCAAATAAAGGGGTTCTCCCTTCAGATCATCCCAAAGGAACCAGCCCTGATGACATCTTGACGTTAGCCCAGTGAAACTGATTTCTGACTTTGACCTCCAGGACTGTAAGAGAATGAATTTGTTTTGTTTTAAGTCACATGTTTGTGGTAACTTGGCACGGCTGCAATAGGAAATGAAGTGCAATAAGCCTGTGAAGTGAAATACGGGACATAGAATGGGATAGACTCACTGATTATTTTCCTGATGACGCACAGTGATCCAGTTGTCAGAAGGGAATCCACAGAGGTGTTGCCATTGACTCTTCCAAATTGGGAAGGACTGTTAACGCCATCTTACCTAGAATTCTGAGATGTGGAGAGTGAAGGCATCGTCCAAAGTCCTACACATTCATTCACTCAGCAAACGTTTATGGAATATCTGCTCTGAGCTAGGTGCTGTGTTGAGTTTGATGGTGATCTGAAGACAAATAAAACAGAATTCTCATCCTCAAGTAGCTGTCGTCCAGCAGGGAAGAACTTGGCATAAAAGCTCTGGTTTGTCATCGCATTGGACCGGTGACTTACCCTCTTTGGGTTCAGTTCCTTCTGTATAAATCATAAAAAGAACTACTTCACTAGATCGAGTGATTAAAAAAAATGCAAAATTGATTTGGAACCTGTTAATCATAGTATAGGGCTGAGTCTCAGTCTTTTCATAACCCTTCTTAACCTGCAGATTTCCCTGCGCTTCCTGGCTCCGACTACCTTCACCTTCGAGACGCTCCCAGCTCCTCAGTAAGGTGCCCAGAGCTGACCTCAGGCTGTGTGACTCCAGTCAGGATTCATCTCACCATCAGTGCTGTCTCAACAACAAGCACAGAGTTATAGGCTGGTCTTTAGTAGCCTTTTGTTTTTTTGAAAAGCTGCTCAAGTAAAAAAAAAAAAAAAATTTTTTTTTTAAAAAAAATAAATGAGAAAGTCTCTCCTTGTCAAATCATGCGAAAAATGAAGAGAATAGTTTCTGAGAGAGATGATGCATCATTGGAGCCAAATAGTCAAATGCTGTTTAAAGTATGTTGTATTTGGACCTCTGCTGATATTCCCATATCAGGTTACATTATGCTGAAAAATTGGTGGAGAATGTTTGCACTGGAACAAAAGTCCCAGTTCAGGGTTTGGTTCCTGGTTAAAATTAAAAGGGAAATCACTGGTCTACAAGTTATATTTGTCTTCTCTCTGTTTTGTTCCTTTCAGCTCCACAGAGGTGAACCGAGTGCCTTCTCTGGCTAGCTGCTAGCCACGCGGAGGGCAAGCTCTGGGGATGGGGTTCAAGTCTGGAGAGGGGTGTGTGTCAGGTGTGCTTCTCCCACCTCACTATTTGAACTTTTAAATCGAAAGGTTGTGATTTTTAGGGAAAGTTCTAAAGCCCATTTCAAATCTCTCCTCCATTGTGAATTCTTCCCTGATCATTGGCTAGGACAACTCTCTCTGTCTCTGTATTATTATTATTTTTTAATCTATGTCACTTTTTATGTCTCTCTCTCTCTCTCTCTCTCTCTCTCTCTCTCTCTCTCTCTCTCTCTCTCTCTCTCTCCCTTCCCCACACCCCTTCCTCCAAGGGTAGACTTCGTTCTGTATCTCCCAGGACAGTTCAGATTTCAAATATTTTGCACCACAATCCCTACATTAGAATTTGCTAGAAATGCAAATATTTTGACAACCAAGCAATAGCTTCTGAAATACTTTTGTATCCTCCAAATAAACACTTGCATAGTGCTATTTTCTAGGACAGTTTAGAGGCAGGTATTATTATCAACCCCAACTTACAGATGAGGAAACTGAGGCACAGAGAAATTAAATGACTTGCCCAAGGTCACCTTGGTCAGGTCTTGTGGACCAATTTTCAGCTCAGAAAATATAGTCTCCACAACCACCCATTCTGTCCCTTTCCTTCCTCCCTGGCCTTGTCTGAAAGCTTTGTACATCTCTGTTTTTCTTCTCTTGGATAGAAATGTTATTGTCAAATGCCTCTGAATGCTTCCCCGTACTTATCTTGTACATAGTGGAAGCTCAATAAATAATTGTGGATTATTTCATCAGCTCAAAAACATAGAGGATAAAAGAATAAAAGGATATCTATAAAAAATTGTAATGATGGGTAAAGATTCATGATTATATGAAGTATAAAACTGTATATACACTATGATATTAACTTTATAAAAATACAAATATACTATTAAATACTGGAAGGAAATACAATAGTGTCAGTGGTTATTGCTGAATGGTGTGGCTAAGACTTAAGTGATTTTTATTTTCTTGTTTATGCTTCATAAATAGAAAAAATAAAAGTTTTAGAATATATCACCCATTTAAAGGGAAGCAAGAGGGCCGACCGAGTGGCGCGTTGGTTAAGAACTGGCTTGGGACGCCAGAGGGCCCCGGTTCGGATCCCACATATGAGGGCCAGTGACACTGCCCTCTACAGCTAAGATGCTGAACAACAGCTCAGCCTAGAGCTGGGCTGCCGTGAGTCGCCAGCGACGGCGTAGGCTGCAGCCCCTGCTGCAGTAGGTTGCCATGGGCTACCTTGTGTAGCCAGCAGCCAGCGTGAGCGGCCAGCTGCTGCAGTGAGCGGCCGACCAGAAGCCGGCGACTGATCTGCCTCGCCCGGGAAGAGCACAATGATGGTGCCAACTTGGGCCAGTGAAGCAACGTCCTCCACAACTAGACTGAAGAACAAAAAGGACAGCAACTTGTCTGTTCCCCTTTCCCAATTCCCCAGCGCTGTTCCCATCCCCCAATTCCCCCATAAAAAAATCTTTAATAAATAAATAAATAAATAAATAAATAAAGGGAATCAAGAATAGCATGGAAGAGACTGGCTGATTGGCAGGTCCTTACAGTGATTTGTTTACCCCCAAGGGGTTGAGCTGTGTGAGTGGAGTTTGGGTAGTGGAGTAGCCAGAGTCTCTGTGTGTGTGTGATATCTGTGTCACAATCTGATGGTGAGGACATAGTTTAAATGATTCTTTATGAATGAGGAAACAAAAGATCTCTCTCTCTCTCCTTAGTATAGTACAAATGGCCCAGGGACTTTGAAACTGGTCCCAGAAAAGATTAGTGTGTCAGAGCAGGAAAAGGGGCTCTGAGATCCTAAATCTAATCTCCTTGTCTTGTAGAGCAATGTCTGATGCCTGCTTTGTTCAGGGTGTTGATCTGAGTTAACCTAGACCAGGAAGGAGAAGGTTGAAATCATAAATGGGATTCTCACATCTTCCTCTGTCTGGTTCAAACATGCAGCCTGGTCCAGCTGTCCGGGCAGAAGGACCCTCCAGCATGCGTCCGACAGTGGGCTGTTGCCCTGGTCTAACCCTGCTCAAAGTGCCTGTTGCTGCTGGGGGGATTGTGTCTCTGTGGCTGTGTGTGTGAGGTCTTGTGGTGAATGATTTGGAGGACACAGGGCCATGGGACTGAGCTTTCTCAAGACCCAACCCCACCAGCCAGGCCAGCTAAGCCAAAGATTAACTGTTTCCCACTCCTGTTAGGCCCACAGAACTAGCAGACTGGTCCCTGTGACCAAAACCACCATTCAGAGACATCAAACAACAGTGATCAACCAGCAACTGACCAGTAATTTGTTCAATTGATCAAACTGCCTTGTATATTTAGATCTTGCCTCAGAAAGTAACATTTTGTCGTCCTGTGGATGGCTGCAGGAAAATCACAACTCCACATACAGAAGTTTTACAAAATATTTTAAATTATTTTTTTCTGGTTATAACAGTAAACGGACATTTTATGAAAAATTGAAAAATACAGAAAGAATAAAGAAAGAAAATAAATCCTCCATAACCCTAACCCTTAATAAAAGCCTCTATTAACATATATATATATATATATATATATATATATATATATTTTTTTAATTGGGGAATTGGGGGATGGGAACAGCGCTGAGGAATTGAGAGAAGGAGAACAGACAAGTTGCTGTCCTTTTGTTCTTCAGTCTAGCTATGGAGGACATCGCTTCACTGGCCCATGCTGGTATTATCATTTTGCTCTTCCCAGGCGAGGCAGATCTGTCGCTGGCCTCTGGACGGCCACTCACTGCGGCTGCTGGCCTCTCGCACTGGCTGCTGGCTACACACGGTAGCCCATGGCAACCCACTGCAGCAGTGGCTGCAGCCTACGCCAATGTAGGCGACTCCTGGCAGCCCAGCTCCAGGTTGAGCTGTTGTTCAGCATCTTAGCTATAGAGGGCAGTGTCACTGGCCCTCATATGTGGGATCTGAACTGGGGCCCTCTGGCGTCCCAAGCCAGCTCCTAACCAATGTGCCTCTCGGCTGGCCCTATAATTCATTGTTTTTCCTTGCAATTAGTGGTTCCATCTACTCTTTTTCTTCTGCATTGATATACGGCATACTATATGTATTTTTTAATCTTTCTCTTTTTAAAAATATCATATGATAACCATTCCCAATATTACTCAGTATTCTTTGAAATCTATGATTACTGAGGACTGCATAAAATTCCTCTGTAACAATGAACTTCCATTATGTAACTTTTCTCCTATTATCAGACGTTTAAACTGTTTCCAAGTTTTAAAGATAAAAATGTCCTGAGGACCAACAAGACAATCAGTCCTATATATTCCTGATCAAAGTATACAACAGCACCTATGAAGTATGCTTGCCAAAAAATTGAACATGGGCCGGCCGGGTGGCACAGTTGGTTAAGAGTGTGAGCTCTGAGCAACAGAGTTGCTGGTTCGACTCCCACATGGGATGGTGGGCTGTGCCCCGTCATAACTAAGACTGAACACGGCACCTTGAGCTGAGCAGCCGCTCATCTGGTGAGAGCACATGCTCTTAACAACAACGTTGCTGGTTTGACTTCCACATGGGATGGTGGGCTGCATTCCCCCGCCGCCCCTCCCCGTCCCGCAACTAGATTGAAAGCGGCAACTGGACTTGGAGCTGAGTTTGTACCCACCACAACTAAGATTGAAGGACAACTTGACTTGGAGCTGATGGGTCCTGGAAAAACACAATGTTCCCCTTCCTCAATTCCCTAACACTGTTCCCTTCCCCAATTCCCCAATAAAATCTTAAAAAAAAAAAAAATTGAACCTGAACCTGATCAAGTCTCCAGGTCCAACTTCCAATTTATAAGAACAGAGGACACATTAGTGACACTATAGCACTGCAATCAGGACATTCCAAATTGCAGAAAACTCTACAGGACAAATGAATCAGTTTTTCCAGAAGATAAACTGCTGCGGGGAAAAGACAAGGGGAGGGGGAATCTATGGCTGAAAAGAAGCTTAAAAGGCATAGCTACCAATTGCAATGTATGAATGATATTTGAGTCCATATTCAAACAAACTAAAAAAATATTTAAGAGACAGAAATTGACACTAACTTAGATACCTGATAATATTCAGGAACTATTAATTTTTCAGAAGTGATAATAGTATTTGTGGTTATGTTTTTAAAATAATCTTTACTTTTTAAAGACATACTGAAAATTTCACATTTGAAAGGATATATTTGGAATTTGCTTCAAAATAAGGGGAGAGGGGCAGGGGATAGTGTGTGGGGATATAGCTGGGTCAAGATTGGTCATAATTGTTGAAGCTGAGTGATGGGTACAAGGAGGTTCATTTTAGTATCTCTTTACTTTGGTACATGTTTGATATTTTCAAAGTTAGAAAAAGGAACAAAGGACAAGAAAGCCAGCATCTCTGGTAGCCAAATGCTGAGCTGAGCTATGGAGTAAAGAGCTGTGCACTTGAATGAAACAGATCTCATTTCAGTCCACTTTTCACACTTACTGGCTGTGTGTCCCGGGGCTGCTTACCTAGCCTCTCTGAGCATCAGAGATCTTATAAAACTGATATCATAAAGCCTGCCTCATAGGGTTGTTGTGAGGAAGAAGCATCATCTTATTGGGGAAAGTGCTTGGAAAATGAAGGAGCATTGCATATTTTATCTTAAGGGATGAGTAGGAGAGTGAGACTTTCATAGAAAAATACTCAGGTATGCCATTTTAATTCCCTTGTTGTTTCTTTCATTATATATATTTTTATTGTTCAATGGTTGCCCTGGGGATTATCGTTAGCATCTTAAGTTGTAACGAGCAGTTTATATTAACACCAATTTCATATTGGGTATACAAGCTCTTTCCTGGGCTCCTAACAAGGACAGCCCACTCAGCCCCAGGTGCCTGCTGGGAGCAGCCTGTCAGCGTGGGCTTTTCTGTGGTCCTAGACCAGAGGTGGAGCCACAGCAGCCACAGCCCCTGCAGGGCCTCGGGAGCAGGCCTCTCTGTGGTTGAGTCACTTTACCATGGGGCTTTCCAGGCTGGCGTGGTCCACTGTGCTCCCTCGGCAGTCCCAGGGCAGCAGGGCCCCATCATGCCCCCTTACCAGAAACCGGAGCAGAAAACCAGGGGGCAAAATTGCTACACTGGCAGAGGGGGACTTCTGCTGCCCTGGGAGAAATGTGGGCTCTTTCCCCAGGGCTGCCCAGCGGCTGACCTGGGCCTCAGAGCTGCCTGGTCACTGCCCACACTCTAATGACTTTAGCACCTTGTTCAAGAGGTTGTCAGACATCCACCCGGGCCCCAGGCCCCCATCAGCCCCTTTCTTACCATGGCCTGCAGTCTGCACAAGGTTAACCTCAGGCTTCTTCCTGGTTGCCTCTGATTCATTTTCCTGTCTCTGGTCAGATGATGGTTTGGGGTTTGGCTGGGCCCTTCTGCCTGCATATTCAAAGCCAGAGTTCCTGACCTTGCCTACTAACAGGCACCCACTGCATCCCAGGGCCACTTCCCTCTCCAGCCTACTTGCCCCCTGCCCTCCAGCCAGAAACCCTTGAGCTACAAGGTATATGAATCCTCATCCTGGCAGGAAGTGCCCTGCTCCGCCACCTTCCACTGAGAACAGCCAAGCCCTGGCAGCATCCTGGTTCCCCAGTGCCTGCCCCGAAGTGGCTGTGTTTGGCCTGGACACCGTGGGACCCGTTGGCAGGGGCAACACAGAACACACTTGATTTGGAGGCAATCCTTTGGAATCCACAGGCACTTCCCTACATTTAAACCTCAGACCAGGTGTACCTGGTTTGTGTTCTTAAATCAGTTCTATAGATGAGAAACCTGAGAGGTTACTTGCCCAAGTTCACAGGGCTAAGCAGTAAGTTCTCCAAGCCAACTACCTAAGTGCTCTTGCTCTGAATCCAAAGTCACTATTGTACCATATACCTGACACTTCTCAAGCAGCCGCTGTAGCACGTGAAGCCCAGGAGAAACTTGCTGAGATTCTCTAGCCTTTCATTCTGGACACCTCCTGGGGCTTCTGGAAAGGCAGGTCAGGACAGGGTTTAGTTTAGTTTAGTTTGTTTGTTTGTTTGTTTTTAGCCAATCCTTGCTTAAAGGCCTTGAAATATACATTCCATGCACAACCCAGTGATCAGTCAGGGTTCTAGCCTAGCCCTATCTCCATCACAAGCTGGGCCCTTCTGCTGAAAATATCCTCCCTGCTTGGCTAATGAATTGTAGTTATTCAATATACATTCCATTATCCAGTAAGGCCCTAGAAAAGGCCACCAATTAAACCTGGTCAGGGGCCGGCCGAGTGGCGCGATGGTTAAGAACTCGCTTGGGATGCCAGAGGGCCCCGGTTCGGATCCCACATATGAGGGCCAGTGACACTGCCCTCTACAGCTAAGATGCTGAACAACAGCTCAACCTGGAGCTGGGCTGCAGTGAGTCGCTGGCGACGGCGTAGGCTGCAGTCCCTGTGGCAGTGGGTTGCCATGGGCTACCATGTGTAGCCAGCAGCCAGCGTGAGCGGCCAGCAGCCAGCGTGAGCGGCCAGCAGCCGCAGTGAGCGGCCGTCCAGAAGCCGGCGACTGATCTGCCTCGCCTGGGAAGAGCGCAATGATGGTGCCAACTTGGGCCAGTGAAGCAGTGTCCTCCACAACTAGACTGAAGAGCAAAACAACAGCAACTTGTCTGTTCCCCTTCCCCTAATTCCCCAGTACTGTTCCCATCCCCCCAATTACCCAATAAAAATCTTTAAAAAAAAAAAACCCCAAAAAAACCTGGTCAGAATTTGCATTACTGTATTCATGTATTCAGTACTGTATTAATCTTTTGACACACATTTATTGAGTACTTACTACACTCCAGACACTCTTAGGCACTGGGCTGCAAGGAGGAAAGCAGCACAGTTCCGGCCACAGTTCACAGCCAGGTGAAACAGAAAGACAAATAAACAGGCTCTGTGGGATCACAACGGGGAAGGGGCTAAGCCTGGGTGGGCCTCGGGGGCCTGGGTCAGGCTGGGAAGGCTTCTTAGAGGAGGTGACTTCTAAGTTGAGGCTTGAAGGAAAAAATATGAAAGTGTCTTCAAAAATCTTTTCTGAGGGAAGAGCTAGCTTAAAAGAGAAGGCCTTTTGATAAAAAGGGAAGAGCTTGCTTAAGGGAAATGAAGGGCCAAGTGGTAATGGGTGTTAAGGACCCAGAGGGGAACAGGGTTGGAGTGGGGGTTAAGGGCCCAGAGAGGGATGACTGAGACACCGGCTGAGTTTTTTTGTTTGTTTGTTTTGTTTTTATTGGGGAATTGAGGAAGGGGAACAGATGAGTTGCTGTCCTTTTGTTCTTCAGTCTAGTTGTGGAGGACGTTGCTTCACTGGCCCAAGTTGGCACCATCATTGCGCTCTTCCCGGACAAGGCAGATCAGTCACCGGCTTCTGGACGGCCACTCACTGCGGCTGCTGGCCGCTCACGCTGACTGCTGGCTACATACGGTAGCCCATGGCAACCCACTGCCACAGGGGCTGCAGCCTACACCATCGCCGGCGACTCACAGCAGCCCAGCTCCAGGTTGAGCTATTGTTCAGCATCTTAGCTGTGGAGGGCAGTGTCACTGGCCATCATATGTGGGATCCGAACCGGGGCCCTCTGGCATCCCAAGCCAGTTCTTAACCATCGCGCCACTCGGCCGGCCCGACACCTGGCTAAGTTTGCTTGGTGCTAGTCCTTGCCATAGAACCTTGGTGCCCTAAGTTCAGGGAACCCAGCCTTTTGGGCAGCACTGTCCAATAGGATTTCCATATGATGCAAATGTTCTATTTCTGTGCCACCTAACATGGTAGCCACATGTGGCTACTAAACCTTTGAAATGTGGCTAGTGCAACTGAGAAACTAAATGTTTACTTTTATTTCACTTTTTTGTAAACCTTAATGATTTTTTTTTTAAGATTTTTATTGGGGAGTTGGGGAAGGGGAACAGCCAAGTTGTTGTCCTTCCATCTTAGTTGTGGAGGGCGCAGCTAGCTCAGCTCCAAGTCCATTCGCCATCTGGCCGCCCATTGGCAGCTCATGGCTGCTCAGCTCAAGGTGCCATGTTCAATTTTAGTTGTGGGTGGGTGTAGCCCACCATCCCATGGGGGAGTCGAACCAGCAACCTTGTTAGAAGCATGTGCTCTCACCAGCTTAGCCATCCTGCCACCTGCTGGCAGCTCAGCAGCAGCTCAGGTTAGGTGCAGCTCACTGGCCCATGTGGGAATCAAACCGGTGACCTGTTGCTCAGAGCTCAGGCTCTTAACCAACTGAGCCACTCAGCTGGCCCCTACTTTTATTTCATTTTAATGAACTTAAATAGCCACCATATCAGACAATGCAGTTCTCCATGCTTCTCACCCTGGTTACATTTGAACCACTTGAGATGCCTTTAAACATTTCTGATGCCTGGTGTCTGAGCCTCACCCCTGAGATTCTGATTTTGTTAATCTAGGGTGGGGCTTGGGTATCAGGGTTTTTTGAAACAAGTCAAGTGATTCTTAGGTGAGCCAGGGTTGAGAACCAGTGACCCAAATCTTTGTCTACCACACTCTCAGGGGTGGGGAGGCCCCTGTTGTTACAGCTTTGCCTAGGGTGTGTTTGGGCTTCGATCACTCTGGCCCTCCCCAACACCCCTCTGCCCCTGGGTCCTCGGTCTCCTCTCCACTCCAGGTAGGAAGATCAGGCCTTAAGTCCCCTCACATAGCCTGCTGACTCTCCCCTCCTGCCAGCATCACCCAATTCCCAGCCCAGAGACAGTGCCTATTCACCTCAGAGCCCTGCCAGGACCTGGTCAGTTCCTTCTCCCCTGGACGGCAGGGGTCAGTGGTCAAGAAACCTGGTCCTTGGAGGCCCCTTGGGCCCTTGGACAGAGCCCAACCAGCCATTTTCCCAGGCTGGGCTAGGCTGGGCTGGAGCAGGGGCTGGTGTCCAGGCCTGAGGTTTGGCTGGTTTCTGTCCGTTTTCCTATTAAACAAATATGCAAATGAGGGTGTTTGGGACAGCACTAATGCAGGAGACTTTGGTAACAAGGCTGGAACTTGCAGAGAACCCTCCTTTCCCATGTATCTTGAAAAAAGCTTTCTGATCTGGGGCTCATCTAGCACCGGGTGCTCACCCACCCCCCTTTTTGCCACCCACACCCCAAAAGCAACTTTTCCCATGACTCACACGTGGCAGCTTATGCACTTCTTTTATTATTAAATATATAAGCAGCTTCCTATTTTTTAAATAGATATTTAAATGACTTTATATAAAATAATTCATCACTTCCAAGTATAAAAACAAAATCTCACAGTGTGTGAGCCAATGTTCCCTCTCAGCTTTCTCAGAGAAAAAGAAGGGGGTTCCTGTGCAGGTGCCCGGGGGAGACACCCAGAGGTGGCTCTGGGCCCCTAATGTTCCTGTGTCAAGAAAGTAAATCCAAACCATTGCAGACGCGTTTTGCTTTCTTGACTTTTAAAATACTATATGTTTGAGGGGTGGGGTAGAGGAGGAATGCCTTTTTTCTGCGTGTTTTTTCCTTCCACTTTTAAATACATATTTTCTAGTATCAAATATAGAGTCTGTGACTAGAAGAAGGAGCCCCATGGGGAAAGGCCTCTGCTGTCCGACCCTCAGCTGTCAGCAGCGGGCAGGGGAGGCGGGGCCAGCGGGCCCTCCCTTTCTAGGGCAGGAAGGGAAAGTCAAGGGCCGCAGCCCAGTAACCAGGTAGGGCGGGCTCTCTCAATGGAGGGCCCAGGGTAGTAGGAGAGGAGGGACACAGCAGCACAAAGGGACCAAGGGCAATCGACAGCCCTGTCACCTGCTGCTCAGCACTAGAGCTTCAGCCATGGGCTAGCCCAGGAAGCTAAGGCCCTCAGGGCACTCAGACTTGAAAACAGATGCCTGGATCCTGCTGACCCCTCTCCCACCCTGGCTTGCCTGGTCAGAGATATGGCGATATTGGGTGGGTGGGGACGAGCGCTGGAGGTATCACTGCCTACAGGACTCCTAACAGGGACTAGCCCCAGGTGCCTGCTGGCAGCAGCTTTGCAGCAGCCCTGTAGCAGACCCCTGCCCCAACAGGGACTGAGACAGGGCTGGGGGATAAAGACGCCTCCCCCAACCTCGGAGGCATACCCATAACTCCAAAGGCCCATTTTCAGTCAGCTCACCCTGCCGCTTCTCCCTGTGTCCGTCTCTGCTTACCCTCCCTTTGTCCCTCCCATTAGTCACTTCCCTCTTGGGAATGTCAAAGTGCAAAATGCAGAAACCTGGGCCAATAACACAGCCTAAAGACCAGCTCTGGCTGGAGGCCCAGGCAGTTCTCCCACTCTGATCCACGCTGGGGAGTCATAGGCTGGGTCAGCAGAAGGTCAGGGTTCAGGGGCTCCCGCAGTCGACAGGCGAGGCCGGCTCAGGCACTCAGTGCAGGAAGCTGGGGGAGAGGTTGGAGGAGTGGGAGGATGGACAGATGCTCGCTCATGGGGATGGACGGGCAGGCTGTACAGCAGGCAGGTTCAGTATTCACAGTGCAATGGCTTCCTTCACGAGGGGAGCCTCTGCCCAGCATCCCAGAGAAGCTCTGGCAGGGCTGGAGGGACAGCAGGGCACAGGCCAGACTTGGTCTTCACCTTGGCATCGCCAGCTAAGCCAGGCAGCTCCTGAGGGCAGGGCTGGCCTCCCCTCTCCGCCTGGCAACAGCAGAGGACACTTAGGCAAGTGGAGGGTGTAGACCCGCTCCGAGCTGTCAATGCAGATCCGCAGGCCTTTCCTTCCCATCTTTTGGGGTGCACACCTTTCCGGGAATTTCAGCCGACGCTGTCCCGCCCTGCAAATGTCATGCTTCTCTCTACACACAAGTCCCTGCTTGTTGGTGTAGGGATCCCTTGGCACCAGCGGGTCCTCTGGGCACAAGAGCTCTTCCATTCCTCAGTGCCCACACTGTTCTCCCACTTCCATGGGCCTCTGGGTCCCTGGCCCAGGTGTGGACTGGAGAGGAGTGGGAGAAGAACACAGCCGCTGAGGGGCAGAGGGTCCTCAGCCGGGCTTGCCAGCCTCCCTCAAGTAGACGGGAGCCTCCAGGGCCCACGATAAATATCAGCAGCATGGGGGGCATCCTCTGGCCCTCTTACTTAGTCCAGAGTCTGAGGGTCAAAAATGGAGGAACCCCAGCCTGGCTGCTCTGGTCTAGTCCTGGCAGGCAGGAGCTCTCATGGTGGGCAGGCCATATTCCTAGGAGAACGGCTGGGACGGAGGGGGGCGGATGACCCCATAATATCTCCTGCCATGGAGAGACTGTCCTGTGCGCCCAGCTGTAGGGGAGACAAAGAAAGGATGGTCAGCTGAGTGGGTGTGGAGGGAGGGGTCGTTGAGGACATAAGTGGGATTGGCATAGCGTTCCTGTGGGCTGTTTGGGGTGCTATAGGCAGGACTTCCTCCCGTCCTTGCCCTCCTCTTCCCAGCCAACCCAGACACCACAAGGGACCAGGCAGCTTTCTCTGGCAGTAGTCCAAGCCACTGGCCAGACTGTCCTCACTTCCTACCTCCTCCTGGGGAACCAGAGCCCACAGAGGGAGGTAATGGGGACTGGTGGAGGTCTGAGTAGGGCCGGGAGTGGGGGCCATTGCTCAGGCAGAGGGGTCGGACAGAGAGGGAAGGGGGCACTTGAATGTGTTTAGACCCCTCCTCAGACAAGATTGTCTTGCTGGCCTTGGTCCAATGGGAGAAGGGTGAATCCTGTTAGCTCTAGCAAAGAAGAGGAATTTCTCATTCCCACCTCCACACCATTCATCACGGAGGGTCATCACACACAATATTTAGAACAGCAAAGCAGAGGTAACTGAAGAAGAAGAACTAGAGGCAGTTCTGGGACAAGGAAACTCCCTCCCTGCCACTTGGCATGCTCACTCCTAAGCAACCCTCCTTCTGGATGGGCCTCCCTGCAGCATCCATGGGAGTCAGGGCCCTGCTCGCTCCCCACCCCACCCCCAGCCTCGTCCCCTTGCCCTGCATCCTCAGAACACTTTGTTCCCAGACCAGAAAGCCCCTGGACTCCATCCAACAATTTGACTTTGGACCTTATGTGGACCTCCTCTCCCTGACTGTCCATAGGCCCTCCTGGCAAAGCCAGTGATGGGTAAAGAGGAAAGATGGGACCACAGCCTCTGGCTCCAAGCCCATTCCCATGCTCTGAAGGGAGAAGGAAGGGGGAGCCAAAGCTGGATGTGAGCCAGGATGGGTACAGCTGGGCCACAGGCCCTGCTGGGGAGAAGAGAGAAGGACCAAGCAGGCAAGCTTCAGCCCACTGCCCTATCTCCTGGTTCCCTGGAGTGGAAGGGCAGGTGTCTGTGTGTTCTTTCTGAGGGTCCCTCTCTCATCTTTCTTGCCAGAGCAGCAGTCAGTCTGGGGGCTAGCCCTGAATCTCCCTGAGACTCTGAGTCCCTGATCTGGAGACCGCCTTAGGGCAAGATCTACTGATCCAAGGAGGGGTCTGGATGTGGCCCCTGTCTTGGGTTCCCTCTATCCGTGAACTCTTGAGGGGAGGAAGGCCTGAGGGCAGGCACGCAGAGAGAGGAGAGTGGGAGTGTAGAAGAGATGCACAGAGGGCCAAGACGGGCATGGGGGTTAGTCAGAGGTGGTACAGCATTGAGCCTTAGTCCATCCTCTGCTTAGGAGTCTCAGGGGGCCTGGGTCATCCTCACAGTCCTGCCAACATCCCATTTGACCCACTTACCGTATCGACAAACAAGGTAGACCCCAGGATTACAGATGTGTTTCATCTACTCTTGTCTAAATAGGCTTTCCTCTGACTTTGAACATTTGTCAGATCTTCTATCTTCTAGGAGTGGCCCAGACATGTCACTCTACATGTGGGAAGGCCCTAAGGCACTCGCTGGGATTTGGCATTTGGGGTGTGAGTGGAAACTCGAATGGGTCACCCCAGTCAGTCTGCCAGCCAGTCAACCAGCCAATCAGACAATCAGCCTGCTAGTCAGTTGGCCAATAAACGCCCCAATCAACAACTAACCAGTTAGGCAGTTACCAGACAGCCAATTGGTCAGTCAGAGTCACCCAATGGCTCGTCCGCCATTCAGTCAGAGTCAATTAGTTAGCTGATTAACTGGTCAGCCAGAAAGCTGGTAAGTTAGAGACAACTGGCCAGAGCAATTGGTCAGTCAGCCCTGAAGCCAATCAGTCAACGTTTATTGAGTTCTTGGCAAGTGCAGAGAAGCCATCTTTGTATTAGAACCCGAGATAGAAAAAGAAATGCAAAAAAAAGTGGAAGACACGGTCCCTGCCCTCAAGGGGCTTACAGCCTTCTTAGGGGTGCCAAATGTATACAAACACATAAAATAAGAATATTTATATGTATAAAAACAATATCCAAATAAGTGCAAATCGAAATGGTATTTAACAAATACAAAAGAGCAGAGGGATATGAACTAAAGGAACAACCAGAGGGTGGTGGAGGAAGGCTTCCTGACACTAATTGTGGACAAAGGGGAAGGAAGGCAGGAGGGTGGGGCCTCCTGGAACCAGGGATCCAGGGGCCAGAAGTAATAAGGAGCACTCTTTATCAACAACACGGGGGAGGACAACAGAAGGCAACAATCAGTGTGCAGGAGACGCACTTGGGAGGGCTAGGAGGACAGAATTAGGACGGAAAACAATTTTAATAGGCTCAGGTGATGGGCAGAAACTAACAGGGTGGTTTTAACAAGGCTGAATATAAACTGCACTTTGTTTGAAACGATTAAGTTGTCCAAGTATAGCTTGACAGAGGTTTATGGGAAATGAACTAGAGGTTTTAATAGACCACAAGCTCAACATATGACAACAGTATGATGCAGTTGTTTAAAAAAAAAAAAAAGAAAAAAGAAAAAAAAAAGCTAATGCAATCTTAATCTGTATGAATAGCAGAATACTGTCCAGATCAAGGAAGGTAACAGTCCCACTGTACTCTGAGCTGGTTAGACAACGTCTGGAGCACTGTGTCGAGGGCTGGGCGCCACATTTTCAGAGGGACATTGAGAAACGAGTGTGTCCAAAGGAGGGCGACCAGGATGGTGAGGGGTCTGAAAACCATATCATATAAGGAATGTTTGAGGGACTTGGCCACACTTAGCTTAGAGAATTCTTAAAGGGGATATGGATAACTGATTTTAATTATTGGAGGGCTCTCGTGAGAACAGGAGGACAATCATAGGGGGAGGCAGGGAAGCCAGTTATGCCTCTCATGAGGAAGGACTTCCTCACGGTGCTACTGGGAGATGGCAGGAAGCTTGCCTGAGTCTGAGAGTGTGTCATTGACAGCTGGGTGACTCCTTGTCGGAGATGCAGAGAGGGGAGGCCCCTTAAGAGTGCGATGCTAGGCCGAACGACCTCTGAAAGCCCTTCTAAGACTAAGGTTCTATGGCTCCATGAATCTAAAAGCAGGGAGGCATAAATGACCTTGGCCGGGGAGAAGGGTCAAATCAGGGTGCAAGCAGAGAGGAAGCTGGCAAGAGATGCATGTTAGGGGCGACTGCTGAGGAGCTTGGGAGCCAAGCTGAGAACGGTGTGTTGCTGATGCATAGCTACTGAAATTCCCCAGGAGGGTAAAGACCTTATACAAGAAGATTTTGGTTGTCCTGGGATGGAAGATGGAAGCAAGACTAGAAGAAGCCCAAGGCAGAAGTATAACCAACGCAGAGGTGATAGTGCCTGGTCTCAGATGGGGTGGAGGGAATGGAGGGGCCGTGGGGAGATCTGAGGACCCAGGAAGGAGAAGGTTGGCCAGCCCTGGTGATGGATGGAAAAGCGGGTAGGAAAGAGGGGAGGGAGTCAAGTATGTGGGCTTCAGGGGAGTTGGTGATATCACCAACAAGTTAGGGTGACTGAAAAAGGATGTAGCTAATTTTAAGGGATGGAGAGAGCTCTAAATCAGAGTCTTACCTTAGAATTCCATCTACACTGGCAGTTCCACCTGTCTGTCCTCATCCTGGTTCAGGGGGCTGCGGGTAGAGCACAGGGCTGGTATAAGACTTCAGCAGCAACTGAGTAGTGAGGGAACCCCCTAAGTTTGCCCCCCAACCCTGTGCACATGTACTCCAGCCCTCTCAGATTAAGAAGACCCGGAAATGCCTAACCCTAAGAAGAAATCAGGAAATAGCCCAGATATCTAGGAAAGAAGAAATAGCTTTCTTCCTCTCCACCCTGCCTTCTGTTCTGAGCTGTATTTTGTCAGAGCAGGTGGGAGAAAATCTCCCCCAAATCAAGAGGAAATAGATGCCAAGACAGGCCAGGTCACTAATTTCCACAGAGCGCTCCTCCCACCAAAAAAAAAAAAACCCCAGAAAACTCTCACCTGCCCTCTGGTTGCTCCATGGGAGAATCTACTGTCTGAGGCTCTTGATGGCTCTGGGGACAGAAAAGAGCAGGCTCGCTGGGGGAGGCTGGGAGAGGCTGGGGGGACCATAGCCCCACCCCCAAGCAGGGCTGCCCAGGGAGTTGATTGGAGAGTTACCAAAGTCTCCCCTAGCTACCCAGAAGTGGGGATCAGCCTGAAGGCCAGGGGAGCTCCCTGAGCCTCTCTGCGGGCAATGCCCTGTCTCCTCCACCTGTGCAGGCTGTCGCCTACCCTAGGGCCCTTGGGCCCAGGCTCTGCAGACTCCCAGGGGACACCCTGCCAGGGGCCCTCATACAGCATCACTTTCCTCCCATCTGGGTTCTCATCCTGTTGTTGGCCTAAGAATATTCTCTCCCACTCCCTGCTGCCCCATCCTTTCCCATTGACCTTATAGCTTGAACCCTCCCCATTCTTAAAAAAACCTTCCATTTCAACCCCCTTCTCCTCCGCACTCAGTCAGACTCCTGTCTCGGTGTCTGAAGAACCCAGGCTGAACCCATGCCGGCCTCCCACCAGCTGGACCTGCTCCTCCACCTGACTGTGCCACTGTCCCCAGGAGATGCCCTCCTCTCCCTCATCAGGCTTCTCTTACCCGCCGCCTCCAACTGTAGAACAGTAGGCCGCCGACGGCGAGCAGGACCAGGATGACGCCGGGCACCAGGTGGGAGACAAGCCCGCGGGGCTGGGGGACGAGGGGCTGCGGGACGGGGCCTGCATCAGTCAAAGGAACGGAGTTAAAATCAGCTGGGGGCCTGGCCGCTCCCTCACTTGCTCGTCTTCCTTTCAGCTCTGTGGTGCTCCTCCGGTCCCTGGTGCTCCTCTTGCCCTCCAGCTCCCCAGGGGGCAGCACATGGCCCCAGAAGCGGCTGTCGGGAAGCCTTGGCTGAGAAGAGAGGGTGGAGGGACCGTTGAGGCCTTGCGGGCGCAGTGATGGGGCCCTGGCAGAGGCCGGCTCCTGGTGGTCTCTGGGCAGGGCAGGTGGACGGTCTGTCGTCTCCGGTGCGTGACTCCACGCTTGGCCAGTGGGTCTCACAGGACCCACCTTGGGCAGAGGGGTGCCAGTTACATATGCTGGCTGCAGACCCTTTGCCAATTTGAAAAGCAGAGAAGTTACTGAGAAGCGGTCGCCGGGTCTGGTGGTCTCTGCCTGGATGCTACCTTCTCCTGGCCTGGAGGAGGAAAGCTCTGCCCCTTGGGGGACAGGACCCTCACCAGCCTCTCCAGAGGCCTCTTCTAGGGCCCAGTTAGTGCCCAATACAGAATCAAGAACATCTTCCATCCCAGAGATGGGAGCCCCGACAGAGGAGTGGGGCTGAGGTGACTCTCCAGTGGGGCTGCCCTCGATGCCTGGGGTCTCTGGTGACTCAAAGCTCTGGCAGGTACTCCTGGGTGGTCGCTGCTTGGCACTGCCCAGGTCCACTGTGCGAAGGTGCTGCTCACTGGGCAAGAGAGAGCTGTCCTCTGTCCCCTCAGAGTCAGCCCAGGTCAAGCCAGCCATAGGGACTATGGAGGGGGCAAGGGGCTGCTGAGGGGAGTCAGAGGCCAGGTCACTGCTAGGGGTGGCTTTGGGGTACAGGCAGTTGCAATCAGGCTTGGTCACCACATCTGAAAGAACCACAGAGAGAGGGAGAGAGAAAGACGGGGAGGAGATATAGAGTCACCAGCCTTCAGAACAGCTTTCCCAGAGGGGGGCTGAGACGGGGATATGGGTCTGGGGGTCCCCTCATCCCATAACTCAGCCCTGGGGCTGAGGAGAAGACAAGACTGGAGCCAGTGCTCACGACACTGACTGTAAGCAGGGAAGGTGCAAACTGCAGGGTCTTATGGGCAGAGAGCAAAGAGTGGGGTTTAGAGGCATAGACTGAGGGTCATGGTCAGGGAGGACCAGAGAACAGCCCTTCCTGGAGTTCCCACTGGCCAGACACCAAGCCAGGGAGGATTAGCAGCCAGCCAGGAGGTTGAGCAGCGGCCTCCAGGACTAACACAAGACACCCTCAAGCCCCAAAGACAATGTGTTGGCCGGAAGCAGCAAGGTGGTTTCATGCACAGCGAGGGGCCACACAGCCACAGCCATAGGAGGAAACAGGCTAGGGCTGGAATGGGGCCAAGGCTTGAGGCCTTGGGATTGAAGCAAAGAAATTGGACTTAGCCACTGGTAGGTGGTAGGGCCTCAGCCTCTGCCTCAGGGAGCAATGTTGCACATAGGAGGGTACACGTGGCACAGGACGCAGAGACGAAGACACGCAGGGTACACATGTGTAGACTGGGAGAGTTTGAATGATGCTCAGACTTCAAATCCAGCCTGTCCCTTGAGGGGACACTCAAGGCATCCTGAGGGCTTCTGCAGCCAGGGTATCCTGGTGATTCGCAGCAGAGCTCTTGGAGCAAGGGCCTTGACTCCCAGATGGAGCTCCTGCTCTTTCCACGGAACCCCGCCCCCCATATGTTCAGCCAGCCTGCAGAGCTGGTGGGGAAAGCCTCCATGCCTACAGGGCTCTCCAAGAAAGGCCTGCTTTTCTACTCCCTAATCTTACAGCCACCAGCATGATCCTTCTTGATGCCTTGACATGCAGACATATGTAGGTGTGCATGCACACACATGTCAGAACAGACATGTGCCTGGGACCACCCAGAGGTACATGAAGCCACATATGTACACGAAACAAACACATCTACACACACAGGAGCACAAGTAGTAGCCAGGCTGCCTCCCGGGGATCCCTCCAGCCCCTGGCTCACCTCCCAATCCCTGCTCTGTTCCACACACCCTCCCCCAGCCCACACTTTCTGGCCCCCTCTATACTTACCTTGGCTGGAGCATTTAGCAAAGCTGTTGTTGCAATTCTTGCTGAAAATGTTCTGGTCCTTTTTAAGGAGATTCTTTGTTTCATTAAAGACATTCTTGATCTTCTCCAACAACTGGAGGGGCTTCTCATGGAAAGTTCGGACACAGGCCTGGAAGGAGAGGAGGCCCCTTGGTGAGGATGAGCACTGGCCCATGTCTCTAGATTGTTTGTCAAACTCCCTTGGCCTTTCTCACAGCTGTCTTCTTTTTCTCCTTCATTTTCTCCCTCCTTTCTCACCTGATTTGAAGCAGAATCAGCCTGAGGCCAGGAGATATGTCATGTATCCACGGATCATATATATATATATATATATAGGCAAGTGGTAATTACCTGAAAACCATGCAATAAATGAGAGAGGTGGTCCCTGGCCAAATTGGACATTGAGTCCAGCATGGCATGGGCACTAAATCCATTGTTACAGGTGCGGTGAGCCCTGTGAAGAAGTACTGAATGATCCTAAATGAGAGCTCAGGGGAAAGGTCCCCAAGGAACCAACTAAAGGATGAACAAGGGTTAACCAGGAAAGGAGACAGAGTTGGAGAGAGCTGTCTAGGCAGTGGGAATAGACTGTGCAAAGGTCCTGAGGCAGCGAAGAGTCTGAACTGTTGACAGACTAAAAGAAAGCTAGAGTGGTTACAGTACTGTCATCTAGGAGGGGAGTGGTGAGAGATGCAACTGAGAGAGGTTCAGCAAGGGCAAGGACCTGCAGGGCCTTGTTGGCCATATCAAGCACTGTTAACCTTATCTACAGAGCAAAGAGAAAACATTTGAGGGGTTGTTGGGAAGGTTCATGGGTGGTGCCATGGCGTGAAGAATGGCCTGGAGCAGGCCATGGGGCTGTGGGTCCTTCTCTGGTATTGGTGTATCTTAGAAGGAGGGCAGAGATTACCCTAGCCCTGTCTGTTGAGCTACTTTTTTCTCTTCTACTCGTGGGACCCAGCCTCCCCATACCCACTGGAGCTCTGAGAAACTTCACACATTCCTGGTATTCCTCCCAACTCTTGAGTGGCTCCTTCTCAGTCTCCTTAGCAGGCTCTCCATCTCCACCTGACTTCCAAATGCTGGCATTCCTCAGGGCTCAGTCGTGGGCCCACCTCTCTTTTCACGCCAGACAATGCCATGCACACCCATGGCTTCATCTATGGCCTACTTGCTGATCATTTCCAAATACCAAATTCTCCCTTACACTGAGCTGCCCAGGGAAGAATTAGGGGCTTTACAAGGCTGTGAAGTCCTTGAAGGCATCGTTGTATGCCCATGGCCTGCGCATAGTCGGCCCTTAATAAGTGTTTACCAGATAAATGATGAATGAATGTAGGGATGAGAAGACCTGGGCTCAGCTCTGTCACTCTCCAGCTAGCTAACACCGGCCAAGTGAACTATCCAGTTTGGGCTCATTTCCTCATCTGCAAAGTCAAAACAATGTGTGCCAGCTTCCTGCAGAGCTCTTGTAAGGAAGACATAAACTGGCTGTCTCTCGCTTTTCTTCACAGAGAAAACAGGAACCATCCGACAGAAGGTCCCAGGTGCCCACCTGTCTCCACAGAGGCGGTGCCTTCTCTCCTCAGGAGCTCTGAATCCTTCCCGGGCCATCTCCTCAGGAGACTCACTCCTCTAGCTTCAATGGCTCCCTCCCCCCTGGAGTCTGTCCCTTCAGCAATTACCAGTGCCCATAGGGAGGGTGGCTTGTTAAAATCCATATTCCTGGGCCCACCTGCAGACCCAATGAATCAGACTCTCTAGGTGTGCGCACTAGAAATCTATATTTTAAATCAGCTCCCCAAGTGATGCTGAGGAACCTTAACATTGGAAAACAACAGCTTGAACACCTCTCTTACTAAAAAAGACTTCCTCTCTCGATCTCACACTCCCTCCGGCAACCTCGCTCTTTTTCCGCACTTCTGGAGAAAAAGCTCCTTCACAGCATTGCCTCCGCTTCTCTTTTCACCCTGAGCTGGCACCTGCCTCCCACAGCGACCTCCACGTTGCCAAATCTAGTCTCTGGCGGGACTTGCGCCTCCTGCTGGTCTCCCAGGAGACCATTCTCCCTACAGTCCATTCTCCTCCCAGCAACCAGAGTGGTCTCACAGCAGAAGTCAGATTAGGTCACTTGCGTGTTCGCCGCGGCTGCATCCCACTTTAGACAAAATCACACATCTTTAGGACCCCAGGTGACCTGGCCCCCACCTCCTCTCCTCTCTCCCCTTCACTTCCATGTCTTGGCCTCGCTGCCCACCCTGTAGGTTCCCGAATGTACATGTTCCTGCTTACCTTAGGACTTCGTGCATAGCATTCTCTGTTCTGGAATGTTCTGACCAGGCTAATTGCTTCCTAACTTAACCCATCTATGGACTTCAGACGATTAGCTTCTTATTCAAAAGACTTCCCTGTCTCTCCCTCCCTCCCTCCTTTTAAATTAGCCCCGTTTCTCCCTCTCAGAGCCCCATGGAGTTCTTCATGGCTCACTGCGTCACCTCCTTCAGGTCTTCCCGGCCCTGGTTTTCTCTTCTGCAAGGCAGCTATTGTCATCTGACATACCACATATTTTACTTCTTTTGTAAACTGTCTCACCACCCCCATGTTTTGTTAACTGTCTCATCACCCCCAAATGTAAGCTCCATGAATGTGGGGGGTTTTGCCCGTTTTTGTTTCCCAGTGTCTAGAGCAGTACCTGCTGCACAGTAGGCACTCATTCACTACTTGTTGAACGAAAGAATAGCCCTCGGGGTTTGTAATTCTGCTTACTTGTGCCACTGTTCGTTTAATGGCTGCCAACCTCACTTCACTGTAAGCTCCGTGAGGGTTGGAAACATGCAATTCTTGTTCATGCAGACACTGTGAAGGCCTAGCATGGTGCCACCTGCGTGGTAACTCATTAGCAAAGGTTTGTGGAAAGAAGAAATGAATGAACGAGTGAGTGAACAGTGACATGGAGTGAGGAAAGTGAATGCACTCTGTGCATGTGGGCAGGGAGGGGACCACCACAGCGACCCGCTGCCCTTACTCAGGGCTTCCCGCTCAGGACCCTCTTACCTTGTCCTCTTCATAGTCCATGGGGAAGCAGTCCTGCAGCCTCACAGAGAGTTCCTGGAGCTTCACGATGGCATTGGCATTAGAGGTGTTGTCTTTGAAGCGCATGGTGTCATCCATTCTGTCTTGCACCAGGAGAAATGCCTTCTTAAGGTAACACACGGGGTCTTTCTGAAAAAAAAAAAAAAAAAAAAAAAAAAGAACCTGGAGTTGATGGTCTGGCTGATGCGGCCTGGAAGCCCAGGCTCGCTGCCAGATGGCCCCCATCCCAGGCAGATGGAGGGTCTGTAGCTGGGCTTCCCCCTCCCCCAGGGGAGAGGCCACATCACTCTAGCACTAGGGAGGATGCTGCCCTCAGCTGGCCTTTCATTCTCTCTCTTTGGGACCTGGGACTGCTGGGGAACGGGGTAGAGGGAAGGAAAATGGATTCTGATTAGAGAGAACTTCGAGTGTCTGGAAAAGGAGACTTTAGTCAGAATGGAGTACATAGGGAGGGTGGGCTCTGGAGAACTTTCTCTCTCTTTCTCTCTCTCTTTTGGCTTGCTTTCACAAAAAAGTCCTTTACTATACGGTTCCTTCTAATCCTTCAGGTCGTAGAGGTACACCTCATGGTCCAAAGAATAACCTCAGTGTTTTGTCTCCCTGAAGAGATGGCGGTTGCCTCAACAGAAGCTCTGCTTTAGCTCTGTATTTCTGGCACCTGGTCCAGTAGGTTTCCCAGTAAATGCTTGTTAAGGCATGAGTGAGTGAATGAATGAAATACAGAGGTTATTTTTTAAACTGAAAGGGGGTCTCCAGTTCTAATGGAACTATGTATGGGTCAGGTGTGGAGAAACTCAGAGACGGGAGCAACTTCTGGGCATCACGGCAATTTTGTAGGAAGCACAAAGATGAATAAACAAAATAAGGGGTAGGGTGGGGACCACTGGAAAGGCATTACAGGCATGAAGAAGAGCTTTGCAAAGGCTTGGGGGCAGGAAGGAGCAGGGAATGTGCATAGTGCGGGGGTCTGTGTGGTGGAGACTGGGGCTTGTACACCCCAGGCTAAACAACCTGGGCTTTCTTCTGGAGTGATGGGGTTGCCTGATAGGTTTGGTGAAGGGAAGTGAAAGTAACAGGCTAGGGTTCCAAAAGGTCCCTTTAGTGGCGGGTTGAGGGGTGCATTGGCAGCAGGGAGCACGTTTCAGAGGTTCTTTCAATTGGCCAAGCAAATAATGGAGTGGGGCTGGGGCAGGACCCAGAGCTGCTGGGAGGCCAGATCAGCAGCACTTGGCTTCTGGTTAGGGCTGGGGGAGGAGGGGGCGGGAAAGGACTAGACTGACACCCTGATTGCTGGCCTGCCTGCTGGATGTAGGTGACACCGTTAAGCAAAACATGTGACCCAGAAGACATATTGTTTTGCCTTAGGCCCTAGAACCCACCTGCCACATACTAGCTGTGCTCCCTTAATCTCTCTGGGGACAATAAACGAGATGAATGTACCACACAGTAGTTCCATCAGGATTAAATTAGAAAAGTACCTGGCACATACTAAGACCTGACACGTGCTAGGCCAGGAGAAGGGAGCTGCAAGGGAACTGAGCCCCTCACCCTGCCCAGCCTGGACCCTGGAGCCCGCAGGGATCCTCATCCCCTCACCCTGCCCAGCGTTAGGATTTCTCCGGCCTTCACACTACCACATATACACACCCTGGGAAGTGCATACCGCTGGGCCTTGTAAGTAGCCATAACTCACCAACTGTTCCTGGTCTACAAACTCAAAGTCAATTAAGCACGAGGTCTCCATCTGACTGTCAATCTGTAAGAGAGAGTGGGCCAGTGGTAGAAGGGTGTCTGCAGCTCGACTGAACTTGCCTAAGAATGGGAGCTAGAGTTTCTGGGTGAATTAGGGTTTGATCCTCACCCACCTCCCGACCAACCACACCTAGAAAGACAAAGCCAAAGCTCGGGGAAGACCTGTGCCTCCCACATGTCCAGGGGAGGGCTGTAGAAGAATACGAAGTCTCCTCCTTCCACCTCCCACTCCATGAACTCTGACAGGTGCCAGCTTGTTATAGGGAAAAACTATCTAATAGAGGATACAGGATGAAATCTACTGTGGGAGGTAGTGAGCTCCCTGTCATGGAAGGAATTCACGCAGAGGCTAGATGAGTTCTAGGGATTCAGGATCTACAGGGGCTAGAGTGAGATGCCCTTGAGAGCCCTCCTTGGCCCCCAGAGTAGTGGTTCTGTGATTCTAAGCCTCAGAGAGTGCTGCGGCTCTTGGTCTACTTTGAGTTGCTGCAGAGCTACATGCAGGAGGAAAAGTGTAGGGGTAAGAGAGGCAGGAGGCCCAGCCCCAAGCTCATGGTTCTGGAGCTGGCTTTCTCCAGTAGTGCCCCACCCTGCCTGGCTGGCCAGAGAGATGGTAAATTCTCTTCTGAGCAGGACAACAGCCATGACAGCAACCTGATTCTGCTTGGCTAAACCATGCCTGGAATTGTTGACGACTCTGCTGGCCCAGTTAGAATGAGGCACAGTCTCCTTCCTGGGCCTGGGTGAGCAGGCCATCTCAGCTCCAGGAGTCGGGCAACAGCCAGGGACGTGAGGGTGGAGGGCTGTGAGTTAGATAGGAGCCTCCCCTCCAAATCTGGCTGAGGCCCTGGTGCCAGGCTGGCAGCACATCTGGGAGTCCAGGAGCTAGAGGCAGCATCTGGACACAACAGGCAGACTGGGCTGGCTCCGTAGAGGAAGCATCCCACTGAGGGACAGACGGCAGGCCTCACAAGCCTTTTCATAGTCCACGATTAACATTCCAGGCAATCATTCACCCAGGCAACCAGCTAGAAGCCCACTCTGTCTCCTGCCTGCAGGGGAGCCAGCAAGGGCTTCAGGGTTAGGGGGGAATGGGTCAGAGACCCTGATGTTGAGAAGGTCAGTAAGGGGAGCATCATGGGAGCTAGATGGGGGCCAAGAGCCATGTCCTGCACAGCCCTATTTCTCTGCCTGCCACCACCCCTCTCTTTGACCCTACTCCCTGGCTTCTGTCTCAGTTTTCCTAGTGGGGAGAAGGGTAGGCATAGCCACATACTCACCAGCTGCTGCAGGAGCTGCAGATGTCCATCTCCAATCATGTGGCTACAATGTTTCATCTTCTCCTGGGTAATACTCCCGCTCACCAGGAGACAGACCAGCAGCAGCCACAGGCCCAGCCATGTCTGTGATAGAGAAGATGTCATATCTCCCCAGCTCTCATTCTGCCCAGAAACCCCCATGCCCTCATACCTACAAGGCTACAGGCTCTGTCCCTCATCCCAGGATGCAGCGTTCCCCAAATCCAGCTTTCTCAGGATTGCCTAACAGCTATGACACAACCTCGCTTTCTCTCGATAACAACCCAAATGTCATCTCCTCCAAGAAACCTTCCCAGATTAACCCAGGCCAAATTTTACTACACAATGAACTTGTAATGAGGACCTGGTAGGTATACCTACCAGTCTAAATTCCCATTGCACAGGAAACTCCTTGACTGCAGCACATGCGTCTACCCATTATTCTGTTCCTACAACATCAAACACTGAGCCAGGCATCTTGTGAACTGCCCACTCCTCTCAAGTCCATGTTCATGCACCGGCGTCCAGACTTTTGCATCAGAGACATTTCCTGGCCCTTCCTCCCACCTGATTCCACACAGGTCTGGCACTGCTACTGGAAAAACCAGGGACCCAAACTCAATTTCATTGGGAACCTATCCCATGCCAGAGACCTTTGGAGCCCTGAGTGTGTGTGTCAAAAGGAGCCCAACCAATTAATCAGAAGCAGGCAGCAGTACCAGCTCTAGGCCATCCCCGGCTGGCACCTGCCTATCAGAGCCCCATCAGGTTCTGCATCCAGCCAGCTAACTCTTAACATGGCAAGGACATTTCCTGAGCTCTCGCCCCTCTTTCAGCACCCACCTGGCCCAGTAGCTGCTCACTCTGAGTGACAGGACTGGCTCCTGACACCCTGTCATTCCCTTGCCTTCCTTTCTCCCTTCTCCTCACCCCTTAGCCCTCTCCCTGGCCCTAAGTCTCCCCTTCTCCAGCCAGAGGTAGAGAAAAACCCTTGGGCTTTTTTGCCCCAGCTGGAGGTGGTCTCCTGGCAGCTGATGCCCCTAAATCCAGGGAAATGCTGTCAGGGTAGGGTGAGGACTGGCACCTTCCTGGGCTCTAGGCTCTGCCTTGGTAATCCAGATTATGGGACAAATACTGCAAATAAATAGCACCTTGGAAAAAGACAGAGAGGCTATGAAACAACCCACAACAACATGCTCATTTACATACAACTAAAAGCCCAAATGTTTGATAGCTCTTACCAGGGAGGAGAGACCCTGGCTGGGCTACCAGGGAGGTTGCAGTGAGGAGGGACCTCAGTGGGGCCTTGAAAAATGGGGAGAAGTTGACAGCAGAGAGAGGGAGGGTGAGGCTGGGGGGGAAGAGGCACAAGATGGCCCAATGCCATTCAGCACAGGGCTGTGGTGAGGGTCGTGGCCTGACCTAGGGGAGAGAGAGTGTGGAAGAGGGAAGATAGTCATTGGGGGAAACTTTGGGTTCTGTTGGGCAGTTGAGGAGGTAGCCCTGGGTGGGAATGACTGCCCAGGTCCTCAGGAACCTCTGGTTCGGGGCACACTAGCGGAAACTGGGACCTGCAGAAGGTATGTCTGCTCCAGGCTGGCTGCCACTGAGGCTCTGAGCCCGGTGTAAGTGGTATGAAGGAAAGGGCCCATGGGGAGGAAGACATCCTTGCCATAGGCACTTCAAGATAGTGATGTTTGGGGACAGCCAAGGGAGGACAATGCTTAACCCTAAGAGTGGTCTGGCTTTTGGAGCTATTTCAGGCTTTAGTGTGGAATGAATGCAGCCGCTGTGTGGGAGACCGACTTTGAAGGTGCCAAAGGAGGCCACCCCTGCACCTGGGTCCCAATTTTGCCTCAGAGGGAAATCTGGACTGGCACTGTAGGGTTAAGACTCTAGCTGGTGTCTGGCCGGGCTGCCTCTTCTCCGCGCTTCTTTCATCCTCCCACCCACACCAGCCTTGGCCTCTGGGGCAGCCAGGAAGGACTCTCTGTTGCAGGCTTAGAGAGATGCTGGATTCTCAGCCTAGCTGTCCATCCTCACCTGCCTCCCATTCTGTTCCATCTTCCCCATCAGTAAGGTCCCTGGAGAGACCTTGGCAGGATGGATCCTTGGGCTGCCCTAAAACTTTTTCCTTCTACTTTTTACTTTCCTCGTGATCTCACAACCAGCTCCTTATCTTTGTCTTGCTGCTTATCACCTTCCCCTCCAGGACTTCCTCTCTCAGCTCCGTCTGCTCTCTCATTTGGGCTCTTCCTCTGCTGTGGAGCTGCTCTTCCCTCTCCCTCTACCCCCACCTGCAACTCCCTCCCCAATCCTCCAAACATTTTTCTGCTTCTCTCCCCACCATTCTCTTCCAGGCTTCCTCAGAAGCAAACCCATTGGGTGACCACTTACTGTTTACTAACAGTGCCACCATGCAGCAGCCGTTGCCCTCCACGGGGGCAGGACTTTCCCCATGCAGTCCTGAGCGAACCCCAGCCCCTGTACACAGCTCCCCAACACCAAACCCTCCTTCCACCTTCCTCTACCATCACCAAGCCCCTGGGCCTCTCCAACGGACTGCACCAGAGTTTGCAAGAAAAAGATTCAGAGTTACCTAGCCCCAGGCAACTCTGGAGTCTGGTCCCCCCAAAACAGAATTGATCCAGCCACCCAAGTCCCCAAAGCTCCTGACTATGAGCTGTGACAAGCAGAGGCTTGCCCAGCTCCTTCCTTCTGCCAGCAGTTCCTGGGCACAAGCCCTGGCATTCCGTAAGCTGATGACCCTGAACTTTCTCCATCCAGAAGCGCCCACTCCCCAGCATGGTCTGGAAGCATGTGCATGGCCGATGAGGAAGGTGCCACACTCAGCACACAGCCACTCTGCCTGTCCCTTAGCGATGGCCCGTTAGAAGAGAGAGAGGCAGAGGCCCCCTAGGGCATGGAGCCCCTGCCCGTGGCTGCGAACCCCTCTCTCTTGCCAGCGAGTGGCTCTGTGTACCCCTCCGCGCAATGGGGTGAGCAGCCTTCCCTTTCCCAGGGAAGCGCCGCAGCCCCAGGAGCAGCTGCAGGGACGCCGCCGGTGTCAGCCCGAGCGCAACCCGGCCGCGCGGGCAGTCCGCACGCAAAGATGGGGTGGCAACCGGAGCCCGCGGCCGCGGCTGGAGAGCCCTAGCAGCCGGCGTGCCCTTGCTGTTAGGTTCGAGGGGCCGCGCCGGCCGCCGAGCTCGCGTCCAAGCCCGACCCCGCGCCGTGGCCGCCGCTTACCGTGAGAGGGCAGCGCCCGGCGGCGCCCCGCGCGGTCATACGGGCAGTTGGGTCCTGGCCCGGCGCGTCGGCCGCTCTCGCTCACTCGCTGGCTCGCTGGCCGCCGCCGAGTCCGTGCCCCGCCGAGGGCCGCACCGCTGTCCTGGGAGTGCGGAGAGCCGGCGGCGGCGTGGAGAGCACCAGGCTGACTTTCACTTTTCCCCAGCCGGCTCCACCGGCCAGCTCCTCGGCACAGCCTTTTAAGCGAGATTGTGGGGGCATGTGGTTTATGGGAAATCACCTTGGACAGGCGCCAGACACACACGCGCGCGCGCGCGCGCGCGCACACAC